TTTTTTTTATTGTGCAGAAATGACCAGGCGAGCACATATCAAAAGCACCATGGAATTATTATGTAGTAAGTATGACCCATAAAATCAGGTGGATATCCCTGCATTAGCGGGCACAGAGGCCACTGTGGGCGGGTGAGTCGATTTTGTTGAAATGCAAGTGCAGACTCTGAAGCAGGTTCGTCTGCTCAGTTATCCTTCGGAATGAGGGGGCGCATCCTTCCTCCTGCGTTTTTGTCTTAGAAGAAAACGTAAGGGGCGTAGATTTAAGCTGAGAAACGGCTGTGAGTGCTGGACTATTTCGGGAAGAACTCGCGCAGATGTTTTTCTGTAGCAAAGGTCCGTCCGTGCTGCGGGAGAGACGCATTCGCTCATGAACTGCTATTGACAAGGGTGATAGATGCAGTGAGGTACTTGGTGAGCGCTGGAGAGCAGAGCTGATTGCATTTTACAGTCTGTGTATTTCTCTGTTTATTGCTTGTATTCTGTCATTAAGCAAACAGGTTCCTAATATAGCAAATCTCTCTAATCAGTAAAGCAAGGGAGAAAAGAACCAGAAGCATCGTTAATTACGACCATTTGGCTGCAGCCTGGACAGTCTGTTGCTATTGGATCGGGCAGCTTCCTCGGGTTTAATTTTCTGGAGGTAGAGCAGAAACTGGCTTTTCTTAGGCGTGGAGGCGAGTGGAGAAATGTTGCATGCCCCGCTGGCTGACAGCTACCTAAAAACCTGAGATTAAACACTGGCTTCTCTGCAGAAATGGATTCCCGGGGCTGAAATGCCAGGTTCCGAGTGGGTGCACTTCTAAGTCTCCAATTCCATAAACAGAGCCAGCGCGCTGCTCCAAAGCCCGCCGCCGGCGGGCCCCCGGGGCCGGGGAGCCCACTGTGGGCAGAACTCCTGTGCGCATGCGCAGAGGCCGAGGCGGGGCTGGACTGGGAGCTGTAAATTATGTGTGTTTCTGTGCAGGAAAGCCATGGCACCACGGCAGGCTTTCCAAATGCTAATCACCGGGCTAAAAAGCCAGGGGAGTCGACAGCCTGACTCCAGGTAGCAGAGGTTAACAGCATCTAATGCATTTCTTAACCCTCTAGTGCCAGGGACCGGGGAGGTCTGGCCCCGCAATGACAGGGCCGTGGAAATTCTATTACGTGGCGTGCCTGGACTTGCAGATGACTGCCGGTGACAATTTTATGAAACTGCTGGACAGGCTCACAAAGTGGCTGAAGACCAGGTTCCCTGGATTTCCAGAGAGACAGAGCCAGGCTTCTGGTTTGGGGCGGGTTTCTCCAGGATCCTTGTCATCTCTCCGCTTTCAAGACGAGAACCCGGTGGTTCTGTGCTTTGGTGGCGGTGTCTGCCCCAGCTCCGCGAGGCAGGCGTCTTCCCCCGCCGCCATGTCACTGTGAATTAGCTGGTAGGGAAGCCCTCTTTCCTAAGAGAGATTAAATAATGCATTTTTCAACGGGCTGGAACAAGGGTTAAAATTGACTTGTAGAAAAATGAATCCGTTCTCTTCTTCTTCCCTGGCTCCTTTTTAGGAGATGTCATGTTTTAAAGTCACACACTGTACGGTTCCGTGTCTGGGGCGGGTGTCCTTGCACGTCCCATAAGGAGCAGGCTGCCTTGGACGACCTTGAGCGCCCTGCCAGCACTTGCGCTGTGACACTTTTGGTTTTACTGGTTTAGAACCCGGCGATAAAAGGGGTTCTCCTTCCGGTTTCTTGCTTACCTTCTATCTTACAGGATCTAATTTTTTTTTTTAAAGCTGTTCTGGCCCCGTCTCAGTTTCCATCAACTGAGACAGCATTTAAAGTATGTTAAATACTCTTTGCAAGAGTGGAAGGTGGGGGGGGGGGCGCCCTGTAATTGGATGTTAGCATTTATCATACCTGACTAGCAGACAGTGATAGCTTGATGATGCTTTAAAAAATGCTCAGGGAGAAAGCCTTTAAAGTGTCGAAATAGCAGGCTGCTCAGGCTTCTATAAGGGCCTCATGAGCCAGGTTTTCTAAGGTGGACTGTGGAGGCAGCTTTCTGACCTCGGGGTCATTGGTGGGGTTCAGACTGTATACAGGACCAATAAGCATGCAACCAGCCTGACATGCGCCTGGCTAGAGTCCCAGGCTCTGCCCCTCCATCCGCAGCTCATGGACCCTGAGAGGCGCTGGACGTCCAGCCTGTCACTCTGCCTGGAGCTGGTGGCATTCTGTCTGCACAGATCAGACTCACAGACCTTCCTGTGGTCCCTGCTCAGGTCTGTACCAGACCGCTCCGTCGGAAGCAGAGCACTTCAAGGCCTGTGTGCGTGGACCACTAAGCCTCTGGAGTGCTACATGCATCTGTGGGTTGGGAAACAGGAGAGACGGCGGTCCCCCAGAGCATCTGGAGGGGCCTGGCTGTCCATTATTACTTTTACTCAGTATTTCATCCATTTATGCCAACCTGAAGGGTCCTCCAGGCCAAAGGAGCTTGGGGCGGCTGCCTCCAGATTTAGTGAAGCCAGTGGGGCTACAGGGAGACAAGGCCAGAAGGTGACCGTTTCCTTTCCATAGAGGCCACTCTGGGGGAAGAAGAGACTGTATAGACTTGGAAGTGGTCTAAATCAGCGGTCACCAACCGGTGGTCCCTGGACCACTGGTGGTCTGTGAGGTCCGAAAGGTTGGCGACTGCTGGTCTAAATGCATCTTCCCACGTGACTGAACACTTATCCCAGCCACTCCCAGATGGAGGGCAGGAGGCTGGGAAGTTAGACCTGTGCACGTCTATCTGGTTGTGTGCCTGTAGTCCTGTACACAGATGAACGCTCAGTGACTAACGAGGACCAGAAATCTACCTATGGAGGTCCATAGTCCGCCTAAGAAAACCTATTAAGACGGGAGACTTCTAGTGTATCGGTGGAAGCATTATACCAGTACTTCAACAGGCACCTGATGTAAGACGTACAGCTGGTAAGTATCTAGGTCAGGAGTGGGCAAACTTTTTGACTTGAGGGCCACAATGGGTTCTTAAACTGGACCAGAGGGCCGGAACAAAAGCATGGATGGAGTGTTTGTGTGAACTAATATAAATTCAAAGTAAACATCATTACATAAAAGGGTACGGTCTTTTTTTTTTTTTTTTTTAGTTTTATTCATTTCAAACCGGCCCGCGGGCGGTAGTTTGCCCACGGCTGATCTAGGTTGTGTATACAATGAGGAAAACGCTGGGTGCTGTGATAATGATGCAGACCCAAGTCGGAAGGAGGCCGGCCTACCCTTGGGACTCTTAGAGGCCACTGTGGGCAGCGCAGCTATGGGCACAAGTCCAGAAACACGTTGAAGTTGTTATGTGTTCCAGATTAGAAGTCAGGCTGCCTTCTCTGCACATTTGAGTGAACTTAGTTATGCAAAGGCCCTCAGCAAAAGTTTGTGTCTTTTGTAGATTATGGCCTAGGAAAGAAAAGACAGAATGTGATGTTTTAGGGTCATTTTGGTGTCTGGGCCCAATTCCAATTTATTTCTCAGACAGAAATAAAACACGTGAAGAAGTTCTACACGTTTTTCTCTGCAGGTAACAATGCCATAGACCAGATTTGCTATTAATATAGATTAAAAGCAGGCTTCGGAATAAGGTTCAATTCCGCTTCCAATTTCCCCTCTGATCTTCTTATATAACATTTAGTGACCTTTGAACAGCCTGGGGGTGCTTTCCAGTGTCTTACTCTTGATGCCTGTTTAAAGGTTTCCATTTCACATTCACAGCTGGCATATGCAAATATAAGTAAAAGATTACGATGCCTCCCAAGTAGCATTATGGCCAATAAATTACTCCTTGGGTAAAGATGCTATCATTTCAGCCCGTGTGTCTTCAGTGAGTTGCAGAGTCTTCCTATAGCAGGCCCGGGCGTGCCTGCCAGTGCCATTCCCACGGGACTGCTTGCCCAGATGCTCCTGATTCTGGTGTGATGCCCAACCAGGTTCATCCTGGTGGCGGTCCTGCGAGGGGTTGTGTGGGTTTGGGGGGCAGGGAAGGCATGCCAGGGTTCCCTGGGAGAAACACTGTAATGTAGGAAAGAACACAGTTTTGTTCAAGATTTTTAGAGACCTGCTCTGTGTCCTGACTCCCAAGTAAATTGCTGTGTGGTCTTGGGTAAGTCACTTACCTTCTCTGCACCCTAATTGTTTACTTTTGTAAAACAAGGAGGCTGCACCTGGTCAGCAGTTTTCATTGCAATTGTGTGAGTAATGGAACCTTTCCTTCAACTCGGTTCTCAGGGGCAACCCAGCGGAGACTTGTTCTGGTTGTATGGCATTAGGGAATGTATAGCTTTCACAGCTCAGCCCCCTGGCGACTGAGTGTTAAGAATGCTGGATCGGGCGTCTGTTATGCCCGCACAATTCCTTGAGGAGATCTGTCTGAAAGACCACCTGTCCCGTCGAGGCAGTGAGTGTTTTACTCACCAGAGGGCAGCCCCATGGGCCCAGGGACTCCATCCTTTTGTTCATATCGCCATAGGCCCTGCCCTGGAAAATAGCTTGGTAAGTGTTGACTGGAGCGATGAATAAGCAAATGAACAAACAAGTTTTAGGAGCACCTATCTCTACATTACTAATACATGGGGATTTTTATTGCAACATTTGTACGTTGAAGGTACGTCCCAGAAATTAACATTCAGAAACATGAGTTCAGAATATAAGTGACTTCAAAACTTGGTCTTTAGTAATAACCTCATCTTGTGGTTCCTCTGCTAGCCCCAGGGAGCTATTGAGCCTTTGAAATGGGGCAAGTCCGAATTGATACGTGCTGTCATATTTGAAGGCTTGGTATGGAAAAAAAAGAATGTGAAGTACCTGGATCATTTTATATTGATTATCTGTGGAGATGGCAAATATTGCATTAAATAAAATGTTATTAACTTCACCTGTTATCAGTGGCACCCTAGACAGTTGATTAATGGATCATAGTAATTACTCTTTCATATTATGTAGGAGTGATTTTATGTGTGTTTGTCTCTCCTCAGGCTCAGAAGCTGAAATCCAATGTATCAGGCAGTACACACCTCTGTCTTTCTGATGTAAGTTGTATTTCTTTTCGGGGTCTCCTTGCATTATGGATACAGGGCCCCTGGGGCAGGGTATGATGCGAAGGGCTCAGAGACAACATAAGTTTCCGGTCCAGAAAAAAATGTAAGGCACCTCCACGTTCCTCTGGCCTTAGAGCAGATGCAGCCATTGGATAAAGTTAGAACCAAGTAAGGGACCTGGGCTCCTCACCTCAGAACCGGACCCACCACGAATACCATTGTCCCAGAGCCACGGGCACATGCTATCATCCGGTACAGAAAAGTACTCTCACTGCTCACCGGATGTCCTCTAGCTCCAGTTCCTTTCATTGCCATAGCAACCCAGAGGTATCTGGGGCAGCCACGTTACTCTCCCCAATTTATAGGTGAGGAGATGGATGATTCTGTCATGATCCTGGCTCACTGTGGTGAGATGCGACATAATGGGATTGAGCCGGTGCTGGAGGCGGGAGGGAGAAATGCATCCTATGGAAGGTCAGCCATGCTGACTAGGAGGGGGCAGGTCCGGATTGACACGTGCTGTGTCATAGATTGAAGACTTGGTATGGGGGAAAGAATCTCAGTGGTTTTATATTGATTGCATGTGGAGATGGCAAATATTGGATTAAATAAAATACGGGAAGCCTGGGTTCTGGCTTGGGCTCTCCTACAAACCAGCAGGGCAGACTCCTTCATCTACAAAATCTAGGCCAGTGAAGGGCAAGACTGCCACGGCCTGCTCTGAGGATCCCCCCGATGTGATCTGGGACCCCTCTCTATATGAGCCGGTATTGACCTGGGAAAGTGTTCTCAGGTGATTCTTCCTGTCCTTCTTCCATGATGGGGAGGGTCAGCCAGCATTCCACCCCAGTCAGTGGACCCAGAAGGACAGGGTTCCATGCTGAGTAGTTACTAGGGGACCTGGGAAGTGGAGGGGGGGGGATGGCATTTCACATTTCCCCCCGAAGTGGATTTTAAAATCCGTAACAGAGGAGCAAAAATATAAATGTTGAGCAGTTTGCCAGAAGTATCTAGTTCTCAGCCAGATTCATGATGCTTCCCCTACAACCACAAGCCGGTGAATTGGGAAGCTCTGGGCCAGCTTTGATGAGTGACAGGAGCTAGTTAGGGGCTGGGGGTGAGAGACAGAGAGATGTGTGGTTAAACACACGGGGATGGAATGAACCCACATGGTGGATGGTAATGACAGCATTCTCTCTTACAGCGTGATTACGAAAAGGATGGTCTCGCTGGTGCCTCCAGCCACATAACCACAAAATCAATGGCTGCCCCTCTGAGCTGCGGTCTGAGCCCACGGCTGGTTCTGGTGGTAACCGCCCTGTCCACCCTCTTACCTTTGTCCTTGGCAGAAACGTTATAGCTGCATTTCAAGAACGACATGGACCTGTAAAAAGACAAACACCAAGTTATCTGTTTCCTGTCCTCTTGTATACCTGAAATTCCAGTTTTAGGCGCTCCGTTGAAACATTGCTCAAGCAGTTTCATCCAACTGAAACATTTTCCTTTTTTTTTTTTTTTAAGAGAGCTTCTTGTGATCCTTAGGGCTTCTGTGGGATTCCCAATGCAGTGCTACATTCCAAACTCAAAAGGCGTTGTGGTACGTTGTATTGTAAAGGGACAGTTTGTACATCTGGCTGTAAAGCGAAAGGGGGCCAAGTTTTTTCATGATGATGATTTTAACCCTGCCCTTTACTCGCTAGCGAAGGGGTTAGTGTTGCTCAAGAACCTTCCCCATTTCATGTGAACCTTCCCCATTTCATGTGGTGGCTTTGATTTCTGATGACATCACTGCAGCCTCACAAGCTTTTGGGTCACAAATCAGAGGTTCTCCTCAAGAGAATCCTTGATGGACTTTATGCAGACGAGCTTGTACCAACGCTCGCCTTTCTGTGTGTTCTAGCCCTTTCCGCGCTCACGTTTGTGTTCCGTAGCCAGTTCTGCTCTCTCCTACAAAACCAAAAGCACCCGTCACACCTAAAGGCGGTGCCTGGCTTCTAGTGCAGACAGAGCGTGCGGAGCGTGGGTGTGAAGCCTCGAGAGCCTCAGTCATTGACCTCCCTCTCCTGAGCCCTACCCACGCGAGAAGCCCTCCACTAACAAGCGCCCCACTAGCTGAAGCATCACTCTAGCCTCTTTCCATGTTTGATCTTCTGTGTAGAAAACAATTTACTACTAAATGATTTCAACTGTTGGCTTTCTATATTTTGAAAGTAATGACCTTGTCTCCATTTTTTACTGATGGTTTAATACGAAACACACGGAGCTTGTTTTCCTCCCCCTTAAGTAGGGTTAGCTCCGACACTCACGCCCTGAACAGCCCTTCCCAGGCCGATCCCGAGGGGCCCTGTGCTTGAGCAGAGAGCTCTGCGTCACGTTGCTGCGGACAGGAGGAGGAGACAGCGCAGCCAGGCTCGTCTGTTATCATTTCTTGTTGAAATGCATGTGCACACCTATGAGGAAACCGGTGGCCACTGGAAAATATTCTGCAATGGCTGATGGCACCCTTGCCATTGCCGTAATCCAGTACCTTGGTTTTCACATTGCCTGACAAGGCAGCTTTGTTTGGGACAGGAGACGGGGACATGCTACCCTCTCTGCCAAAGCGGGTCCATGCCAGCGTTCAGAGTTCTCTCCGGACTGCGGTGGCTTGGCCGCTGTTGAGAGCAGTTTGGGCTGAAGGTTATCAGGAACCTGCTTGCATTTGTTCTACATTCTCCAGGGCAGACCATGACTGACAATGCGAGAAGGAAAGATTTGTGGATCAAGGTCAACACTTGGCACAGAAACACAGAACAGGACTCTGGATATAGGGCATCTGGCTTGTGAACGGCATCTCATCTTCCATCGTCCTCTTCCCTTAAGGAGACCCTAGCGTGTGCTTGGGAAGTCTGGTTGGAATGGCGCGATTCAGAATCTGCAGTGATTGGATGCTGGTAGCCACGTTTCTCCAGAACCAAATCGAAAAGAGATTCCATCTTTGCAGAGTGCTGGGAACATCACTTTTCTTGTCATATCGGTAGAGGGGCTGGAGGAGGAAGCCACGGTACCTATGTCATGCTGATCCCCTTGGCCCACTGATGTTTGCCTTGTAAGAATTAGTCACATTACTGGGGTTGGAAAATCTTAACTCCAAGCTGAAGGCATAGTCTTTTAGCTCTATGGGTGTCTGAAGTGCATTTATAGCCAAATGTTAATAAATATAAATGGATAATACTAAGAACCAACTTCTTTTCACTTCAACATGTTTTCAAGGGAAACTCGCCAAACAAATTGGATTAGTGAAAAGTTTCCTAAATACTTACTTTGAATAAACCCATTAAATGTGTCCAAATATTTGGAATTCCAGTCATCTATGACAGCATAGCCCGTACAAGGCATATTTTGTTTTAATTAAGATATCCCTGTGTATCTACACTGGACTAATTGCATGTAGGTCTGATTCCATGTGGTCTACTGTGGAAAGCTATTGATTACTTCTGCAGGAAACAGCAGCTCTAATTAGCTTCAGATGACCCAGAGGAGAGGGAGTTATCAGGGCTAACAAGGGGACCCTATACTGAAGAACACATGGATGTACAACACATAAATTAAATTTTGAAAAGCCGCATCTATCACCAACAAAGATCTCATTTTTCTTCAGCGATAGAAGCCTATTAGAGTTACCAAATCCTCAATTTGAAAATAAATTGCTGATTAAATAGCCGGGGTGGGGGAAAGACAACACATTAGAGAGCTTCTTACACCATCACGCCGAGCACGTGTTTCTGCCATTCGGTGATCTCAGTTGAGCTCAGTGGCCCTGACACCCCATCCTGTGCCCCGGGACAGGAGCAGGCAAGCGACTTCAATCTTTTCCATGCCTGATTGTCTTTTTCAGCACTCAAAGCAAACATCATTCACTACCTCTTGTCTTTCAGTCCCTGCATTTAGGGAAGCACCCAATACACGGGCTGTCTGCTGAGGCTCGGGCCTTTGGCAGAAAGCAGCTCATTATAGTTGACTTTGACAAAACCAACACTGTCATTTCTGTCCAGGTCGACCATGACTCCCAGATCAAGGCTAGCCACACCCAACGTAGTTCAGAGAAAAAGGAAAGGCACGTTCGCCAAACCAATTAGAAGCACATTCATTCCACTTCGATGTTGAATCTCTTTGGCTAATCTTTGTTTTGTGTGTATTGTTAATAGAGCACAGGAAGGAAGGCGTGCACAATGGAGAGAGGGAATGAGTTCAGAAAGCCACCTGAATCTGTATTTTTCCACATTTGAATTGTTCGAGTCTCTAGTAGAAAACATGTAAGTTGGGAACTGCATAGGTATTTTTCACCAAGTATAGCAAACTGTATCCCAAATGCGATAGGAGTGTGGTTTCCATTAAAATGAATTGTTAAAAAAAAAACGTGTTTATCCTGTAGTTAAAAATGTCTTAGAAGCCGTGTGTCTGAGTTCATCAAATACAGGGCAGGGCTCCCCCAGGGCTGTGTGGCCTTTGGTTTGGGGTGTGTTAAGACTGTTCTTGTCATGCGCACGCTCTGAGGATGGGTCCTCTCCAGCTGCGTCCTGCCTCCCACCTGCCTCTTGTACAAACCCTAAGTCCAACTCTCCCCACACTCCAGCTGCTGCCCTAGGGAAGTGGGAGCAGAAGTGTTTCGAAGTCAGTGGCAAGTGCTTGGGGAAGGAGATGTAAGAGCAGAGGGAGTTAAAATAAATCAGCACATTCTTTTCTCAGAATCCGGCATAAATGTATTTCTGCCGTTAGTTTTTACCAAAGAGCGGCTTTGGAGGAGCTGTCTCTTCAGACATGTGTTTTCATTCATGTAGTCAGGCATGTACTACTTCTTTGAGTCTAAACTCTGGGCCAGAAAAGACCTGCTGAAGCGAGTTCCCATATTCTAGTTCTCCTTCAAAGCTGTCCTTGATCTCCTGAATTCATACCCCTGTGATCTTTGTTGCTTCTGCTCTTTGATAAAGCAAATGAGATCATGGGAGACCCGTCTTTTTAAGAAAGACCAAAAGCAATGGCAACAGGCAAGAGGAAATTGCGAATGGCCCAGGCACGGTCCCAGCAGAAGGGCCGATCTGCACTGACCTTGAGGAGTTTGGAGAGAGGAGGCGAATCGAGGTGCAACAGGACACCTGGGTGGGTGACGATCATACAGTCCATGGATGTCCCTTACTGATCCAGATAGGAATCGTGTCCTAACAAAAGAGCAGAGTTCCTTCAATTAGACAAAAGTGTCTCTGGGGGAAGCAAGCCTGAACTAATACCTGGATAACAGAGAACATGTCTTTTTAGAGATTCAAAAAGAGTAAAACAGCTGGGAATTGGGTTGGACATCCTAAGAAGCTAAGTTCTTCTCTTATTCCTGAGACAGGCTTCTCATGTATAGATCGGACACGTCTTAAGTTTGACACAGCTTTTATTCTCACGTGACCATTTGTTTTCAGCCTATTGTCTGGAATTCTTCATGAGGGCGATGCCTCCAAAACACACTCTCACTGCAGAGGCCTTAAATCTGTGGGTTTCGCCACTGCCTCCAACCCGGGGGGTAATAGTAGGACATTTCATTTCACAAGGATAGTGGCTGACTCAGTTCTCTTTCCTATTGATTGATGCCCCCCACTCCCTACCCTTGTCACGTATTGCCTGAATGTGTAACACGGTCCGTTCCCATCAATTCCTCATCCTCGTCCCTCTAAATGTAGTCGGACCCAACGGCTTCTTGTTCCAGCAGAGGCCTTTTTTACACGTAGACCCTGGCCTTTTGAAGGTGGAGACGCCTTTCTTAGGAGCCAGGAGATCTGAAGATGATACTAATCCCTGAGTAGGAAGTTCGGCCATTCGACATCTCCCTGAGCCCCCTCCTAGCTCAGCCTCACCTGCTGCAGCCTCTGCAGGCATCCCTTTCTTGCCCGCTGCTCTCTGATGAGCTCCCCTTGCCTCCTGAGACGGCTCGGGGTGTTCATTAGGATGCGCCACCTGCACTACTGATGGCTCTGAGACCCAGCCCGGAGGGGTGGGGACGGCCCACAGACCCTGCTGTCATCAGCTGCCTGCAGAGAACCGCAGCCCCCCGAGGTCTCCAGCTCATTTGACCAGCGCAGCTGTGACTTCGCCGTGTGCCTCTGGCAGGTGCCCACATCGGCATCTTGTCCCACTGCCACGGGGAGTTTATTCTTGCTCCAGGGCAGCCGCCAAGCTTGGCACTGGCCCCCAGTGAAGGTTTGCTCTGGATTTTCTTCTCTTCATCCCAGGCTGGGCTTTCTTACCAGTCCCCGTCGTCTGTTTTGTAGAAAGTGCCAAGAGACTGGCCAGAGACCATGAGCCCCTTCCTTTGTTTTAACATCTCTTCCCACTCACGCAGCCTCCCCTGACAGACAGCGCGACCCATCGTAAGTACTTAGCACTTGGCAAGTTAGAAAACTTTGGGAACTCAAAGGGCTTGATTCTGTAAGACGGTAACAAGAACTGGCCTATTTGCATCGTCTTGATGGCACCTGAAGGCCCCTCCTGAGGTTCTCAGACCTCCTGGCTCCAAGCAGCTTTCTACACGCCCACTATTTTCCTGGTGAAAAATGAAAAACTAGCATGTGTCCTAGGAGGAGCTGAGCGTGATCAGAAAGGCTAGGACCCCAAAGCGGGTGGACAAATTTCACGGGAAGTTAGCCAGCGAGTCTGCTGATACTTTAAATCTGAGACCAGGATGCTGGCAAGTAAGCAGGACCACTCCACCAGTCCCAGCCCAACCCCAGGGATGGAATCTGAGAAGCAAACGCAGGTGCTTACCAATTCAGTGCATTTTTTGAACATCTACATTAGTTGAGCGAACCATCCTTGGGAGCTGAAGGTCCCCCAAGGGTCACCTGAGAAGATGGGGCCCTCTGACAGCAGCTTAGACACCCACCTTTCCCAGAGTGGCAGAACCCTTCACTTCCGTATCCTGGGGAGAATCAAACTTCTCTGTATGAATAGTCACAAAACTATTGCTCAGATTCAGCCTCTGAGAAGTCTGTTTATATGCGTCCAACCACCCCCCGCCCAGCTCCACCATATGGGGAAGGCAGACACCCGCCTCAGCTTGAGCCTCCCAGGCTGCCACGGAGAACCGGTGGGAACGCACTATGAGCCTCAGGGCCGGGAGCGTGGCCAGGTGGACCTGCCTGTGAACTGTCCCAGCCATCAGGTCCCAGCCACGGTGCAGGGGACAATGGGAGACACCAGCCTGCTGTAGCCCCGGAAAGCAAACACTCGGCAGTGCCCGCTCAACATGGCAAAACCGTGAATGAGCAGTGACCCCTGGTACCCGGCAGACGTGACATCACAAGGTTAAAGTAGGATGAAGAATTGGAACCACTGATGATGGATGCCCTGCGTATGGCAACCACGGGGCTGTTCCCGGAGGTGAAGGTCTGTCCTCTTGTCACTGCGGCCGGCCGGCAGGGTGTCTGTCGCAGGGACAGCTGCAGGCGAGTGCTCCCGGCCTTCTCGGCACCATGGCGGGTAAGCTCCCTCTGCCCCAGACGCTGCGGAGTGGTGGGATCCAGCACCTTCTTCGGCGAGCAAAGCGTGCTCGCTCTGGACTTTGTTTTGTTTTTTTTATTTCTTAGCTTTAGCTAAAATGTGCAGGGGGGGAGGGGGGGAGGATAGAAATGATAGCACCAAATCCCAGAAATGCCCTGCCTTAGTTGGCCAAGGCCTTACGGCAATCAGACATTTCGGCTGTGCTTTTTTGGATTTAGAAATAGCTGATCGTCCTCGGAGGGTTGAAGCAACTGCTTCGGAAAACTTGAAATCCAGGGCCTTATCGTTCTCCTAATTATCTATCTTTTCTCTTCTCCTCTCGTTGTCCCCTGAGGGAGGAGGGAAAACACTTTTCATCATAGAGTTTGCTTTAAAGAGTTTTCTCATCTCCTGCGCCTGATCCCTTGATATTGAAATTATTTTCTCCTGTTTAATCCGAGCCCTGCTGAGAAGCCGGGGTGAGATTTGGGATGCGGACTTTTTTTGTTGCAGTCTTTGGGATGGCACTGAATTTTTACTCTTCACCGGAGGGTATGTCTCAGCTCACGTTCTCTCTGTTTCCTGCAAGTTTAACAACAGAGGTAGAACACAAAAAGGATTCTGGGTTCTAGGGTCGTTTTAGGATTCTGTCCTGGAAGAGGGGTTTCTCCGAGCCGAGATGAGGGGTAGACGGGATCCAGATGAGCAGCTTTCCTTCCGGTCTCCACTCGGCAGTGTGTGTTTCCTGAGTCTTTGCCTTTGAAGCACATACATGTATCCCATGTCCCGGTGTATCTGCTTTCCTGAGGAAGGAGCCCGGGGTCCCCCGGGGGTCCCTCCCACGTGGACTCCTTGCATAGCTGTGTGCCATGCGCTTCATCGCCGGCACCCACGGGGGACCCTCAAGTGTCAGAAGTACAAGTTTTGCTCTTTGGACTTTGGAAGTGGTTTTGTGATGTTTGACATTTCTGTTCGCATTTGCTCAAGCACTACCGATTGTACGTATGTTGTCCTTCAGCCAGCCCCCCACCCTCAAGTATCCTAATAAACGTTTTCTTTTTTTAGAAAAACAAAAAGGATTGTTGTGGTATCTTCTTTTTGGTATTGTAATTCATTGGGAAAAGAGCTTGAAACCTACAAATATATAGAGATCCCCGGTGTCAGGAGAGCAGGTTTGCCCAGCAAAGGAGTTACGTGATCGAGGACTGGGTGTGGCTGACACAGGTGCTTTTAGAGAATCTTTGCTGCAGGTGTGTGTGTGTGGGGGGGTGGCGGGGGATGTTGCTCCTGTGCACTGCAGGCTACTTAGTAGCATCCCTGGTCTCTACCCACTAGATCCAATAGCACCGCCCCAAACCCCCACTAGATCCAGTAGCACCACCCCGACCCCCAAGCATGTCAAACTCGTGGCTGGCCGGCCGCATGCCTCGTTTAAGGGATGCAGCCCACCAGCTGTGAGTTTGACATGCTTGCTAGGACACTGACAAACCCCCTGGGAGGGGGAGGTATCAAATCTCCTGATTGAGAGCCACTGATTTAGACACAACCGAATAGCCCGCAGGCAGTGTTATGAGAAGATGGGGCAGGTGGGTTCTCCCAGTCGTCTGGACTGCATGACTTGCATAGATTCACAGATAGTACTTCAATGAGAGGGAAAGACGTCGAGGCCCTTATTTCCAACGTCGAGCTCAGCGCCTGGCAGAGAACAAGCACCTGCCGCTGCACGGGCTGGATTTCAGCCGCTGGAACATCACGATGGTGGGGCTCAAAACACGCCTCCCCCACCTCCCTGGGGAGGTGAGCATCTCAGACCCCTGATCACCATCAGGCAAAGCACTGAAGCCCGGACGCAGGGAGTAATGGCACCTGTCCTCGGCCTCAGCCTATACCCCACGGTCCCCTCGCCACCCGAGGCCTTGCCCTCGCAGGACAGGGGTGTGTTTCCCTCGAGGTCCTGTGGGACCAGCTTAGTTTTTGTGATTTCTCATCCACCTGGGGTTCCCTCCTCCCTGGCTCCCCGGACCTGCTTTCCAATGGTTTCCGCCGCCGCCACAGTGTAGATAAAACCTTTGTGGGCACTGGGTCTGGGCCTGGGGTTTTAGACACATAGCAAAGCCCCAGACCCCACATCTCACCAGGCTCAGGGGATCTCAGGCAGCCTGAGCAGAGATCCCCAACTTCGCTCACAGAGAAACCCCAGGTGGCAGCACCCCAGAGCGGCTGGCCCCTGGGGGAGGACGGGACACTGACATCGGCCCTGAACCCCCAGGCAGACTGCAGAGGCAGCAGCACTCTGGGGACCTGTTTCCTTCCACGGCCCCTCAGTGTCCTAATCATCTGACTGCAGCCAAATCCCCAGCGCACAGGTGCTAGAACTGTTAGCAGCTGGAGCAAGAAGTGACTAATAAAACCCTGAGAGAAATGCCAAGGAAGTGAATAAAAACTATGACAGAAACAAGATGCAGGACTGCCTGCGCTCGGTGATCTAAATAAAGCATAAACGACAACAGTGACGGGGAAAATACGGGCAGGAGGATCCATAAAAGTTACATAAACGAGCAGTGCTGGCTGCCCCGATGGGTTTTATCCTCAGAAAGGCCTCTCCCATCCCGGCTGCCAGACAATTCACCGCGTCTAAATAACATGGTGAATGTTTAGCTTGAGAAGACTGTGAGTGCCTGTATAAATAGGTACCATCTTTTTTTAGAACACTGATGGACAATATGTGTTATACTTTAAAATCCGCATCCCCTTTGAGCCAACAACTCCACCGCAGGATTTATCCCGCATTCCTACACAGCGTGCCAGGATCCATGCAAAGGATTTTCATTGCAGAATAACCTGCGATAAATTGCAAAATACCTGAAACTGAATGTCCATCAGCAGTGAACTGTTTAAAGAACTCGCGGTGCATCGAGACGAGGCAATATCGAAGGTCCTACAAAAAAAGTAGACTTATGGTCACTGAGATTGAAAGTGGTATGTGGTAAAGTAAAAAAAAGAAGATATAGGACAATAAAGTATATGGTCCTAGTTATGTACATTTTAAAAATATAGGGGAGAGAGAGAGAGAGAAAGAAGACATATATATATATGATATAGAAAGGTGATAGATGATAGAAGGTAGATAGATGATAGATGATTATATAATAGATACATGATTACATGATAGAGGGATAATAGGTGGATTGATAAATTGATTATGGATGTATGGGTAGATAGATGAAAGATAGAAGGTAGATTGATGATGATGATGATATAATAGTTGATAGAGGGGTGATGGATGGATTGATAGATAAATTGATGATGATGATGATGATGATGATGATGATGATGGATGGATGGATGGATAGATAGATAGATAGATAAATAGATGATAGCAGGATATTCCCTAGATATGCAGTTTTTGTTACATCTGTATATTCTTTTTACCCATTGATTTTTAAGGAATAAAAAGTAAAGGAAGGCAAGCTGTGCAACTGCTGGCACAGCTCAGGTTTGGCCCTGCTCTTTGGAGGGAGCAGGCAGAGGCGCCTGGCCCAGAGCACTCTGCATGCCCAGGGCCCACGGAGCCTAAAGCAGGGAGCGGCTGCCCCACGAACCTCTGTGGAGAGAAATGGCCATAATGTAGGGAAGAGGCACCTTATGGAGGCACCTGTGTATGCTGTGTGCCTAGGAGGGTTTTGAAATAACTTCTCACTCTGTGGTTGGTGACACACGGGGCCCACCCTGGCCAAGGGGAGCTCTGGAATGTCAAGACTAGCCCTGTGGACAGCACCCTCAGAGGACTCATGATAGTAACAGCCATTGAGTACTGGGAAATCACCACGCGCTCCCAGCACCAGGATGGATGGGCTTAATGCCCATGACCTCATTCAGTCCTCACAACAACCCCAAGATAGAAACGATCTAATTTTGCAATGAAGAGACGGAGGCTCAGAGAGGGCAAGGGACTGATGCAAAGCCACACAGCGAAGGAAGGCAAAAAGAGAGCTGAGTTCAGTGTTCTGATGCCAGTTCCTATAGAACCTATTCTCTGCCCTCCAGCCTTAGGGGAGGCGGGGAGGCCCGGGCTTCTGAGCAGGAAAGCTCACAGGTCCACTCCCCATCCTCACATCCCCACTTCATTCCCCTCCGCCCACACTGGGGGCCCTGTCATGCCAGCAGCCCAAGCTAACGGACTGCGGCATATGCTTGCTTTCAAAAGATAATGACCTCCCTTGCTTTAAGGAAAAGAACAGATTTAAAGAGAAACATGACAAGCCATCTGAGTGCCAGGACTGCTCCCCTGAGAGTCCCACTTCCATTCCTGCCCCTCATCCCAGACATGAAACCAATGGAAGGAGTTGCAACATGCACAATGAACACCAAGGAACAAAAGCCGGCCTACGTGTTTCTGGGTTACAGTGCCTCCTAGACCCCCAGGCATGTATCTGGATGGGAGAGGGTGAGGTCTTCAAATGACCGGCACGTCCCTCCCGACCACACACTAAATTCTTTTGAGACAGACTTCAGCCCTGGTGACGCGTCGGCCCGCTTCCCCAGCCAAGTGGACAACAGGGACCAGCACTGATCAAAAAGAGCCATTTCTGCGTCTACTCACATCCTGTCCCTTAATTGTCATTGTATAGCAGTTCATTAACATCCCCGTTCCCTTAATTTGTTGTGAAGACTTAAAAGGCTTTCAAATGGAGTCAAACTGAAGACTCCTTTGTTTGGCTTTTACGATGATTGAAACGATGTGCCTTGTAAAAAACCTTATGTTCAACACCCAGCCTTATTAATTTCACTTGACTTCATGACTTAAGGTCAAATACGTTAATCAAAGCCGCCATCATTAGCACAGTTTCCTTTTCTGTGAAGCGATTATGATCACTTACCATTAATGAGTCGTGAAGTTTTAATAATTTTTTTTGCTGGTGTGAAATTGCAAAACAGTAATTATGACACATACTATATGGATGGCTCGTTCCACAATGTAAATTTGGCCTAATGTGGGGAAAAATACAAACGAACATTAAGTAATTAATTCGTTGCCTCCATGGAACCAAAATAAGCCTTAACAGCGCAGGCAAATGGATAAAAAATGAAGAGCCTTTTGTTGTTATCACTGAACTG